GAGCACCCACGGCGTCCGCGCCTGCTCCACGTCCGCACTGGGGAGCACGAGGCCGTGCTGCCGGCACCCGTTAGCACGCGTTGGGTTACGCACGCTTCCTGTCTGTGTTTCCGGGCCGTCTGATTTGTTCCATCGATCATCTGCTCCTTCTTAAGCTGACACTGTATGATTTCCTTCATTTAGCTTCCCTCCGCGTGTTGACTCTTCAGTGAGGAGGCCAGCCTCTCATTGCTGTTCCCCGATTTTCTCTTTTCACCCTTAGCTGTTTACTTTTTAACTATGATGTACTTTCTGGATGCTATTTGGTTTGAGGCGGGCCAGTGCCTCTCAGCGTGGAGACCCCCGCCCAGCCCAGCAGCACCTGAGATTTTAGATGCGCCCAGCAGCACCTGACTTCAAAATGTTGGGATCAGAAACGAACACTCTGTTTGCACAGCATGTGTGTTTTGAACGCAAGGCTGCAGTAAAGGGGCTCCTGTAGGACTTTGCCAGCATCCTGTCCTCTTGCCTTTTCATCTCTCTGCCCCTCCTCAGGGGAGGCTGCGTCTAGGTTCCTTGAACTTCTGTACTGGACCAGCAGAGGGCGGGCAGTGTCCAGTTGCCTGACCCTTCCTCCACGCAGAGCCTGGGACTTCATGGCTCCTGACCCCTGTCCCTGCAGGTGAGCCGTCCCTGGGGTGTGCTGGGTGAGCCCGTGGGTTCTGCCCCTTCCTGGGTGGAGCCTTGCTCCCGACCATGCTCACCTTTCCCTCTTCCATCAGTCAGCTTTCATCTCGGTGGGGTGTTGGAGGCTGATAATGTACATTTATGTGGCCTGAAGTTTTGGGGGCTGAATGTGCACAGCACAATGCAGGCTCTGGTGCGGCACCTGTGCCTGCATCACGTGACAGGTGGAAGCGTGGCAGGAGTACCAGCGATCAGCTGGTAAGGCAGGGGGACAGCAGCCTGGACAGCATCACAAGGCCCCGTTTGAAAAATAAAAAAGAAATAACACACATTCATATTGACCTCAACACAGAAGAATTAAGGGGATGGTTTAGATTTTGTCCTCATTATACTCAGGGCTAAACTTTCCTGAAATTGATACTTGTTCCGCAAGCTTGATTTTCCCATGTGCAGAAAGACAATTAGGCTTGTCAGGCACATGATGCAGGTGGCCCGCTGTCGGCGGCTGAGACTAGAGGTGGCCCCTCCCACTTTGCACCTTGTCACCAGGGGCCGAAGCATGGAATACATTCCCCTCTGTCATGGTTTAAATATGAAGTGTCCGACGGAGACTCTTGCACTGAAGCCTCACCCCCCAGGCAATGGTGTTCAGAGGTGGCTCCCAGAGCCGTGACAGGGTCCTGGATGCCACTGATGGGTTCAGAGCGGGATGGCCGTTAGGATGGATGTGGTCACTGGGATGCCCTGTGAAGGGTGCATCCTGCTCCCAGCACTTCTCCTCTCCTTGCTGTTTCCAGCTCTCTGCTTCGTGGCTGAGGGGCTAGAAGCTCTGGCCCAGGCCCTTCTGCCGGGGTATGCCTGCCTGGAGGCAGCCATCTATGAGGGAACCCTCGTGACTCTGAGCCAAATCACTTGTTCCCATTTAAGCTGTTTGTCTCTGGTAGTTTCTCAAAGTGGTGAAATTGTAATGAATGCCTCACCCCACCAGCCCGAGCTTGGCAGTCCCAGGAAGCTTGTCTCTGCTAGTCGCCTGATGACTTGAGAGGTTGCGTGTCACATGGCGACTACTCCCTCCATGAGGGAAGGACAGAGGGAGACTTCACAGGAGCCACACAATCAATTTTTAAGTAACAAAGTTATCGGGGGCTGGGAGATGGCTCAGTAGAATAAGTGCTTCCCTGGCAAGCGCAAGGGCCTGAGGTCAATCCCCGGTTCCGCCAATAAAGCAACAACCAAACAAAATAAAGCAACAACAACAAAAAGAAGTTATCATTTAAGGGATGCAAAACTCTAGTTTTGCAACATTAAAAGAGTTTCAGGGGTGTTGGTGGCAATGGTGGCAGTGCAAATGAATGCAAGGAAGCTGCTAAACTGACCACTTTGTAAATGACTAAGAGACCATGTTCTGTGTGAGGTATATTTTACCCATCCCTCCATGGTCCCTAGAGACAGAGGGAACTGAGGGGGTGCCTGTTTTGGAGCATGCAACACAGTGTGAAGCTCATAGGGGTGAAGCCCACCTCTCCAAGGCTGGGGCAGGGCGAGGAGGGTGGGTCCCAGTGTTTTGTGGCTGTGGACCCTATAGCTTCCCTGGTGATGTGGCTCTCTCTGCCTGGTGTCCCCAGTGCAGTGTTGGGCCGCTACCCCATTGGATGAGGATCACCTTCTAGGGGCAGAAATCGCCTATAGACCTAAGGTTTTTTCCAGGTCCCCAGTTGTGGAGCTGCAGACATCCTGGGTGACTTTGCTTTGGATGTCACCAGCTGAGTGGAGGTGGTTTGTAGCAGATGTAAGGATCTGCCATGGAACAGTCTCTGCTCACGGCCAGGAGCTAAGAGGCCTGCCTCCCCTTGTGCTGTGCCTGCCACTCGATTCCCATGCCCCTCCCTGACGCCATGATCAGCACTCAGAGACGGGCTGGTTGTGCAGACTGATGAGGGGGTCCGAAGTGCCAGCGCCCCTGTGCATCGCGAACAGGTCCTGCATCCCGCTGCGGGTTTGTGCGGCTGTTAGGCTGAGGACATGCTAGGAATGGAAGAATCAGGAGAAAGGAGGTTGCTGAAAACTGACAAAATCAAAAACCCCTTAGACAAAGGAGATATCAAACGTACAAGGGTCAGTTAGATTGAGTGTTGCTTCCTCCCCTCTTTCCCAATGAAAGCTACAGACTTCCCCTTCACCTCCGTTTCCTCACTTGCAGAATCAGACTGTGTCCATGTGTACAGATGGCTACTGTGGCTGATTTTATACACAGAGGGAAACTCTACCACTTTAAGGAACGAAATAGCAGTGCAAACAAAAACTGTGTCATCTATCGTGCAGTCACTCACTGACCATCCTTCAGGAGCGGGTGTGAGCCTCAGGCCTCATCAGTGCTTGTCCACTGCAGTGCAGGCCCAGCATGGCCTGTGGCGTCCAGCGCCTCCCAGCTGTCCTAGCGCCTTCTCTCTGGGGTGAAGCAGAAACTCCCCGGGACTCAGCTGTGTGAGTCACTGGCCTGGGTGGGGAGAGTCCCCTCTCCAAAAGGTGCAGTCCTGCTCTTCTGTTCCAGTCCTGCACTGCCCACTGAACTAGCTGGTCTTGCACCCCACCTATTTCTATTTATCTCTGAAGGCAGAATGCCTGAGGGCCAGCGGTTCTTCCTTAGCTGAAGCTGGTGGCACCTGACGTGGCTGCGAGTGTGATCCCCAGGCCCCTCTTCCTTCATTCTAGTCCTGCTGGCATGCTAAGTGCCCCCTCCCTGAGATGACCATTGACAGGGCCATGGAGATGGCTCAAAAGACCAAATAATAAAGTGAAAAGAGGCAGCAGCCAAGCTCTGGGCCAACCTCAACCCAGCCCCAGAAAAGAAGGCAATGACTTCCCTTCCCTGTCCTCAATTTCCATGCCTCTCTCTTCTGACTTCCTCACCCCTGCCAGGGTGAGGAGATGGCTATGGGTCTGTCTCCTGCTGCTCAGCCAAGAATAAAAGTCTCCTTCCTTGTTCAGTAGGTATTTGGTCTTTGTATTGGTTCTGAGAGGGAGAAAGGAACAGGGTCTGGGGCCCAGCATGGCACAGGCTAAGAGCAGAGCAGGGGCAGCAGATGCTGGGCAGAGACTCTGGAGGGATCACAGAGGATGCCACACAGGACAGCTCCAGGGTGAGGAGGTGCTCTGGGGAGGAACCCACAGAGGTGAAAGTCTAGGAGCCACATGGGGCCTGGGCACAGCATTCACTCAGTGTTTGCAAGGCCCTGTTCCATCGCCAGTGCTGCCTTTCATCCGCCCCCTCCCCATCCTGTTCATGGGCACCATTGCCACATCATGCAAAAGGATGCAAGGTGTGAGGGGCTGTGCAGATGCTAAAAGGGGACAGAGGTGGATGTGCTGGGAGCAGGTATGTACCACAGCCCCTAGGGCTGCTGGGCATGGTGGCTGGAGTGTCCCACGTGCATCTATGGCTCATATTTCTTCCTGAAGCCATGGTAGGCTGGCTTGAAGCACCAGGCATGTGAGGCCTGGGCGGGCTCCTCTTGCTGGGTCAGCAGGAGGGTGGTGCGAGGGTGGTGCTTACAAGGAAGTAGGCAGTTTTGAACTGCTGAGAAATTCATAGTTTCAGTTTCCCCATTGGGAGCCTGGGTCTCTGCACAGAGGACACTTGTGTGCAGCTGGCAACAGGGACCAAGCAGTTCAGCCTGGCTGGGGTGAGTCCAAATTCTTTGGCAAGTTGGGAAGGCAGAGAAGCACCAGTGTCCCCAGGTCATAGATGAGCTCAGAGCGCCAGGGGATGGGCCTCTGATCCCCAGTGCAGCAGCAGGAGAGGCTGCACTTGTGCCTGGGTTGTGTCTGACTGCTCCCCTCCCCAGGACCTTCAGCAGGAGAGAAGGCCACACAGATGGGTCACGGTGCTGCCCTGGGCTCAGCTCAGGTGGAACGAGGCATGGCCAGGTGACCCTGGGAAAGGACAGATGTGGTACAGGGAAGGGGAAGTTGACTAAGTCGGGGACATGGGCACAGGGTACCAGATACGGATTTGGAATGAGACGCATCACTGACAGTAAACACATGTGCATGGTATGTATTGTGTGTATGTGTAAGGGAGCAGAGTATAGTCATCAAAACATGGGATTTGCACCTTAGAGCGCTGAGTTCAAGTCCTGGCTCCTACCCCTCCGTGAAAATTTGGGCACTTTACCTGCCCTTCCTGGTGGTTCCCGCAGCTTTAGCAGCAGCCATAGGTGTTATCCCCCCAGGAGTGGGTGAGCACTGAGTGAGGGCCAGGGAGGAGGCTGCACGGTGCAGACCCTCAGCACCACCCAACGTCATTAGTGAGCACGGGCCACAGCCCAGCGGCTCAGCAGGCCGTGGCTTCCCACCTGGGCTCGCTGCGTGGTTCTCTGGTGTCTGCACTGCTGTCTCCTCAGCCCATAGCCCTCCCTCTGTTCCCTCACAGGACCTGAGGCTGCGGCTTGGCAGGGGTGAGGCTAAAGGTAGCTGGAGTAGGGAGACTGCCTTCTTATAAGAGCAGCTGTGGCCCGGGGGACAGGGCACACCCTGGGCAGAGTCTGTTTGCACTTTCCTGCCCTCATGGAGGAAAGCCTGGGAGACCTGGCCCCACCTCGCCCTTTCCACCTTCACCTCCCCCCGCCCCCTCATCTCTCCTTCCATGTCATGATCTGCTTCCTCCTCTGCTCCAGGCTGGACACACCAGAGAGCTGTAAGGAAAACGCTCAGGGACAACGCTGCTGATATCATGGGGGATGCTGGTAACAAGGGCTGCACCCACCATCCAGGTACTGGGCTTCCTCTTCTCTGGGGGTTCCTCTCTTCACCTCCCACTGAGGTGCAGCTCAGGGCAGTGCTTTTATGCAGAATAGTAGAAGGTAGAAAAGGGGACCTACGACGGAACCAGGTGCTCACCTCCTCCCCAACCGGGCTCCTACTCAGGGTCCCGGGTGGGCCTGGAACTGATTTGAGGAGGCCCCGTCTGCCTTTCCCAGGCACCTGCCCTTGGGCACTGCCCCCTAGAAGATCGGAGATCATAGCTCCCTCCAGCTCCTGTCCTGTGGGGCCCAAAGGCTTCTCTAGTGGCTCAGAAGAAGCGTGGCCCAGAGTGCCACCGAGCTGGAGCCCAGCGTGCGGTTGCTTCTCAGGTCTGTGGGACCTGCAGCCCCTGCCCTCCCCCATCACAGGAGAACAGTGTCTCTCAGGGTATGATGGGATTGGCTAGACATGTCTGAGCTCCCTGTGTGCATCTCTCTTGGGGACCCTGTTCCTTCATGTGGACCCCCACATGCCCTCTTCACCCCTGGAGCTGTGTCCAGCACCTGCCCTGCCCTGCCCTGCCAGTGACAGGCAGCTGCTCACAGGCGTGACCGCTTCATTCCCATGGCCTCTAAGGTGAAAGGAAACAAGCTCCTCTCCAGTTCACGCCTCCTTCCCCAGTCCTCTTCCTTCCCCTCCACCCAGCACCTCAGAACCACATCCATGCCTCACTGCTTCGCCAGCCTGGAGAGCAAGCTGTGCCTGGGGCGGTGGGGAAGCTCAGGAGATGGAGACTGGACCTGGGGCAGGCCTGCGGCTGGTGGGCTCCCTAAAGAGCCTTTCTTTGCTTAACATCTGGCCAGCTGGGCCCAGGGTGCCCTGGAACTTGTGTTTCCCGAGACAGAAGAACTTGTTTCCAGAGTGCCTGGCCTGCTCCCAGATTCTTAACAAATCAGGTCTGCTTCTCCTTTAAGTCCTAACTGATAAAAGTGACAGTGAAAAGCATGGATGGGATTTAGGAGGGTGCAGCTCTTGAGGAAGACAAGAGGACTTGTGTCCTCCACCTGTCCTTAGAGGCACTGACATGAGCCCGGGATTCTATAGACCAGGGGACAGCACTGTGCACGGGCACATTTTCTGTGGCAGTGGGACTGGTGTCCCTGTCTCAGCACTGGTCAAGTGGGGATTCCCAAAGTGTGGGGAAGAGTCCACCCCACAGTAGCTTCCTGCCAGACACCCGCAGGTCCCAGGGAGGGGCCAGGGCCTGCACAGAGGCAGCCTCTCAGTCCTGGGCACAAGAGCACAAGGCTCAGAGCTGAGGTCCAGCCCACCCATTCCGCCCACCTGAAGGATCCCCTCCACTACCAAGCCTGGAGTGAAAGAGATCCCATCTTCCTCATAGTTTGACCCACTAGTGCATAGTTTCAAATACTGACATAGTTTTAAAATCTCACTGGTAAATTCTAAAGTGGGTATCACAACTGAGAAAAATTTAAAAACAAGTTTCAAAGGGATATAAACAGCTGGCCAGTTACACCTGCACTTAAATGATTAGCTTTGCTCGTCCTGGCTTTGGGCGGCCCCTTTCCTGGCTGTCTCAATGTGCTTATGAAACGAGAATAGTGTCTCTCTCGCGAGGACGCAGGGGAAGCACATTGCGTGCTAGGTCTCTGGAGCACTCACGCATATACACTGGTCCCCGGGCCCCTGCCTGTAATTCCGTCACCTCCAACCCTGCACACACACATTCTGGGTGGCTCAGGGGGTTGAACTCTGCCCCCTGCTGACCTGAGACCACAGACAGCCCTTCGCTATTCACCTCACTCAGGACAACACCCACTTCTTTCTGGGTCGACCCATGACTGCATCTGACCATCGCGAGCAGCAAGTCACACGCCGCACGTGCTCTGCGCTTTCTTTCTAAAAGAGTGGAAATTCTCTAACTGTGTCTATCGAAGTACACAATGGAAAAAAAATTTGAATGTCCTCAACACAAAGAAATGGCCAAGGTCTGAGGTGATAGCGCAGAAACAGCCTTGATCCCGCTGTCCCTGATGAATATGTAACAATTGCTAGGGGCTTATCACAATAAACGTTTGAAAAATCGTTCTAAAAGACGAGGAGTTCTGGAGTCCTAAGCATATCTGGATCCCATGGAGTGGGAGGCTCTCCTCTCTCTTTGCCTCCCTCTGAATGCATCCACACTTCTCTCTGTACACTGGACAGCACATTACGTACAGCGGGAAGGCTGTTCCCAAACTCCATTCTCTCCACCATTTTGGTTGCAGACCGAGCTGCCCAAGGACCAAGTCAAATTTCCTCGGAAGGCCAATGTGGAACCTAATAGTTGAATTCGACTCAGTTCTGATCTCACTCAGTTTGCCACCAGAAGAGAGGAGAGAATCAGGTTCATGAACGAAGGTGCCACTGTGTATGTAGTATCACAGAAATCGTTCGCAGAAGCGGCCCCCACCCTTACTATGCTCCACATGCTCTAATGTCCATCTTTCTGTTTCCTCTCAAAAGTGCTGCTCTCAATCAATTTCCAAATGCACTGAGGGGTTGAAGCTCACATTGGGAACATGAGGGTCCACAACGTGTGACACATAGTGGGCACAGGGTAGGTGACCTCCTGCTTGGAAGTTTCCCACTCCCCAGGATGAGGTTCACTTTCTGAGCTCAGTGCTGAAGGCACTTCCGGTGTGTTAGTCCCCTCCTGCCACCATCACAGGGCTCCACAGGCCGGTAGATTAAACAGCACCTTCCCTACTGGTCTGGAAACCAAAATCCATGATGAAGGCGGGGCAGGGCTGGTTTCCAGTCAGCCTTCTCTTCCTGGTCTTCGGAGGGAGTCTTTTCACTGTGTGCACCCTTGGCCTTTCTCTGAGCCTGTGCAGAGGGAGAGAAAAAGAGTCAGGGTGAGAGTTATGAGCCAGCAGGAGAGTGAGAGAGAGTGAGATGGAAAGTTGGACTTGTTCTTAGGAGGACACCAGCCCTGCCGGTGAGGGCCCCACCTTCATGATCTCACTTGCTCTCAGTTCCCACACCTCCCTAGAGACCCTAGCTCCTAATTCAGCTCCTGGGGTTGATGGTGGAACATGTCAGTTTAGGGTACTCATTTGGGTCCATAACACTGGCTTCTCCATCCAAAGTGACTGATGGGACAGCAGCTCCTAGGAGGAACATTAACCCCTGCACTCAGAGCCATTTACTCCCCACTGCACTGTCACTGACCTTTCTCCCGTTTTCCTCCACCAGACAGTGACAGCTTCATGGAGGTTGTCGTTGGGCACATCCTGGACATGCTGAGCAGTGAGGATCTGCCCCAACTGCTGACTGAAGATGTTGCCTGGGAGATACTGGTGGAGATGACTGATTTGACCAGGTCACCTGAGTGGGGTGTCCAGCAAGGCTATCCAGATGCCCGCTGGACCGGGGCTCTCAGGGGCAGACAGGGCTCCTCTCGGTTGCTTCTGTGGTTGAGGTTCAGGGTACCCCCTCTCCACAGTCCCTGGGAGACATGATCTCCTTTCACTCCCTGGCAGGGAATGGCCACAGGCTGAAGGGAAACAGCACCCACTCGGGCAGCATCCCTCTGCCAGCTGCGAGTTATGCTGCCTTTGCTGGTCCTTCACCACGCTCTGCCTTAGTTTTTTCATTTATCGAGTTTCCTTGTAGGAAAAGTAAGATAATGCATGAGTGTGTGTAGCCTGTGGCTGGCACACAGCAGGGTTGGAGCACAGGTCACTGTGAGCAGGAGGAGGGAAGAGAGCAGGCCAAGGCCCCTGCTTGCAGAAGGGAGCCAGAAAGGACTTGTGCGAGAAATTTATATATGTAGACATCATCAGTTTCTGGGGGCTCTGGCTCAGGCCATTTATCTTTGCGTCTGAGCAACTGCACCAATGCAGTAGGACACTTGTTTTTATGATATTTGAGAAAGTTGCTTGCTGTGTTTTGCGTAGTCCAGGCTGCCCTTGATCTCCTCTGTGCCCAGGCTGGCATCACACTGCCCAGATCCTGCTTCAGCCTCCCGAGTGCTGGGAGAACTGCTGTGTACCAGCGTGCTGGGTCCAGATGCCCAGAAGCCTCAGTGCAGGAGAGAGAGCTGGGTGGACTCTGGCTGTTGGCCACCTGCAGGGCTGCAGGCTCATTCGTGGGAGACGTGGGCTGCCATGTGTTCAGTGGGAGGAGCTGTTCAATGTGCAGGACTGTGGAGAGCTGGGAGTCAGGGGAGTGCAGCTTCCCATTGGCCCTCAGGACAGAGCCAGAGCCAGGGCTGCAGATGGAACAGACACGGTTAGGGACAGCAAATGTGGGGTTGCAGGGCTGGATGGAGTCAGAGAAGGTAGGTGCTGACGGCTCCATGCAAGGGAAGGTGCTGGACACAGAGGACGCGGTTGGAAAGGGCTTGCTCCTTGTCCTTGTTGGGACCTCAATGGGTAGCCCAGAGGGCTGTGGTGGTGGGCGCTTGTCCTCTTTACACAATGCTTTTCACTAAGAAGCTCTCCACTCTCTTTTGGGACCCTCCTCCATCCACACAGAGTAGCCCTGACCATTGGAAGGCAGTGGCTTAGTGACTGAGCTGCAGAAAGAGTGGTGAGCAGCCTTCTTTGTATAGTTTGTGAGTTCAGGACACTGAGAGTCCCCAGCACTGAGGGGACTTTCTCTGTTGTGGTGAGCACTTCCAGGGATCTCTGGCTCTAGGTTCAGTGACAGATCTCAAGCTGTCCCCATCTCTGTACCTGGCCTTTGCACCAAATCATGACAACTGTCACTGGCTAAGGTATCCTTTTGTTCATGACACCAACAGCAAGAGCCTGGTCTTAGAGTCTTGTGTGTCTGTGAGCTATAGGGTCGAGAGAGGATAGAGCCAGGGTAAACAGCCAGGTCTCCTCCTTCTCAATCAGCTCTGGCAGTAGCTGGAGCCATCAACCTTTCACTCAAAGTGCGAAGGGTACCAGACTTTGGAATGGAGTTGGTGGGAGTCCAGCTGAACTTTTGGACCTCTTTCTCTAAGAGGGTTTAGTTTTTATAACATGTTATTACTCAGAGTTATTAAAATTGTGAAGTCCAAAGACACAGTCTCCAAGACCTATTTCTGACAACAACTAAGAATCTGAGAACTCCCCAATACCTTATGCAGGTGTGACAATTATTTAGAGAGACCCTGAGAATCACTGAAGGTGTTGATTCCACACTTCCATTGCATCACAGGAACAGGTCCAGGGTAAAATCCATCATGACAGAGATACAGAGGCCAGAATCAGGCTGGGCTGCTGATCTGCAAGGCTCAGCCTGTGAAGGAAACATTGTCCTGATGCACAGCAGAGCAGGTGCTGATGCATGGAAAGCCAAGGTCAAGGGCTCCTTGAGCAGAGGTTCGAAAGGCCCTAAGTACACCTTGGTCCTGCTGTGTTCTCTAGACTTCAGGGCTGACCTGGAGCTGCCATCTGCTCCCGGGGGAGGTCGATGCTTTTAGCCTGCAGTTTCTTTGGAAGTCAGAAATGACCCCACAGCCCCTGTCATCCATCACATTGTGAGGATGAGCTCGCATTACAGGAAATTCCTGGGAGGAGTGTTTACCTGACAGACGTTTTCTGATTTTGACATATTTGCTGATACATTGAGAGATAGTTTGGTATAGTGACTGAGAACAAATCAGGAAATATTTATGTTTCTCTATAGTTGGATGCACAACATGGATGTAATTTTATATGTTTGTTGAGCATGGTTCTGCTTTGAGTGTGACCCATCCCATGGGTCAGATATGGAACTTTCTGCTTGTGGCATCATGTCAGTGCTCAAAAGCTTCCGATTTTTTTTTCTTTAGATTTATGTATTTGGAGTAGAATTGTTTAGCTAATGCTGTCCCCAGGCAAACACAGACACTCTTAGCAGTCAGGACACTCCAGGGGCCTACAGGTCACTCCCTAGTAGCGGAGGGCAAAGTGCAGATTGCCCCGTATTAAGGCGAGCTCCTCCCTGTGCGCTGAGCGTCCCTGGCCTCCGGCTCTCCCGCAGCGCTCCTCTGCTCTGCGCGCATCTGCACAGTTCCTGCTCCACAAACGCTGTGCTCCTCCGGGCACTAACCTCGAATGAGGTGACGCTTCATCAAATACCCACCATTAAGGAGCAATGAAAAGGATGCCCTGCCACAGAGCCCTCTATAAAATAACGGTATACAAAACGTGTTTCCATCTGAAAGAAAATTCTGTGCATCTGGGTAGTGCTTGCCCATCTGATCATAAGGAGCCTCTGTCCTGTAGGCAGCACACATCTTATGGAGCCTGCTGTCCAACCAGACAAGCTGCCTTTCTTAACCCATGATCTTTCCTATTCCAGGGAGGAGGCTGACGTTGTGCGTGAGGCTCTGATTGTGCTGACTGAGTTTGAAGGGGACACTGATAAAGACCTTCAGGCAAGGGACAGTTTCTTGAATGCCTTTCCTCAAGTGAAAAAGGAGCTGGAGGAGGGCATAGCCAAGCTCTACGCCCTTGCCGAGAAGGTTGACAAGGTGCACAAGAACTGCACCATCACTAAGGTGGTGGCCCGCTCCAGCAGTGCCGTCTCTGGCATCCTCACCGTGCTTAGTCTGGCTCTGGCACCTGTGATACCTGGTGGCAGTCTGATGCTGTCAGCCACTGGGAATGGGCTGGGAGCAGCGGCTGCTGTGACTGGTGCTTCTGCCAGCATTGTAGACCTCTTGTGCAAGTTGTCTGCGAAAGCTGCAGCCAAGCGTGTACTTTTGGGCAGAGCAAACCCAGCAGAGGAAGTTGTGCAGGGTGTGAAGATGGCCACACCCCAAGTTGTTTCTGCAACTAAGATGTGCATGCAAGCCTTCCAAGGCATTGAGAAGAGCATCTGCACAATGCAGGTGGACATACCCAACACTAGATTATTAGCCAATACAAAGCCCCTCATGAATGCTGGGGAATTGTCACTCCCAAGCAGTGAGCAGGGTCCGAAAGCCTTTGAAGGCACCACTCTAGTGATGTCTGGAAGCACCCGGATCATGGGGATAGCTACAGCAGGTGTCTTTCTTCTGATGGATGTGTACAAACTTGTGCAATATTCAGAGCATTTGCAAATGGGATCCAAGACTGAGTCAACTGCAGAGCTGCGGCAGCAGGCTCAGGTTCTGGAGAGGAAGTTGGAGGAGCTCATCCAGATCCACGAGAGTCTGCAGCAGGACCTCACTAAGTGACACTGTCCCCAAGTGAAGCAGAGCTCAGAGCACAGTGCATTGAATACACTTGAAAAAAGGCAGGAAGTGCTATAGATGGAAAAGAGGGTGAGGTCAGGTCTATGCAACTGGGTGTTAAGGGATTTTGCATTTCTGTGACTGAGCACACCGAGTGAGGGGCTAATGCAGAAGTGGGTTAAAGAGAAGGCAGTGCCCTGGGGTGCGACATAATGGAGAAGCAGTGCCTCAAGTTCATGGGAAATAGGAGGAAAGAATTTCTTTTGTCACAAGAATCCACTGGGAGCCTGAATAGCAGCTGCTGCAGTGGAAAGTTCAGAAAAACAGGAGAGCAGAAGTCGGGGGCAGTACAGTGTGTGTCTCCTTCCAGTTAGAACTCAGCTTCCTGCAGGATTGAACTCAGCTCCTTGCTGACTCGAACTTGGTTCTGCCTCACCCTGATGCCTGGAGCTGCCAGATGGAACCAACAGTTACTTTGTCTCCCAGGGTCTGTGGGTCCCTCTCCAAGATGGTCCCTGGCTAATCCCACATTCCTGGGGCCATCTGAACCCGAACAGCTCACCAGCCTCTGCAGTCCACTGTGTCTCCTGCTCTGTTGCACTGAGCTGCTCTCTGTGGAGACCTCCGGACTTGAGCTGCCCCTCCCACACAACGATTCGGGTTCCAGGAGGATGTGCTCCTGGCCACCTCCCTCTTCCTTGTTGAGGTCTCTTTGTTCCCCCATGGGCTCTACTCTTTGCTGGGTGGCAGGAACCTATCTGGACACAGATCTCAGACAATCTGTTTCTCTGTTGCTCACAATCCGCCATCTTTCTGGAAGTTGGAAGCATCCTGACCTTCACTACAGCCACCTTGAGTCCTAACTGATATTACTGTCCCTGAGAAAATTTTGCCTGCCTTATTTCTCACTGTACCATAGATAAACACTACCTTTATTTAGTATCTGGGATTTAACTACCAGATCCAGATCATATTGGTCCCAGGAATGGGCCTGGTTCTAATCTTAGTTAGAGAGAAGCCAGATACATTTGAGCTTGGGCAGTCTCAGTCTGGTAACATTTATGAGGATCCACCAGTCTTGCCTCTGTCCTAGACCAAGATTCTGTACACAGACACTCCATAAAGAGGAGACTCTAAATCTGAATCTTTCTGCCCCCCTCTTTAGTCTGAAGGTACTGTCTTCCTTTGACAGTTGGTTAATTTGTACTTAATTTTCAGAGAATATTTAGTGCTAATATTTGTTAAGTGAAAATAACAGAGAGAAAGAGCCAAGCAGATCTGAGATATTATCCTGCACAGCAGCCCCTCCTAACTGACCAAAAACCTGAGGATCAGAGAGCTTGATCTCTTGACACCAACCTGGTTGGCCTCTAGAACCTCCAGGTTGCTTGACATCTTCCTAGAATCTGGTTTCCTGCCCCTCCCAAGTTAATGTCTGTTCTGCTTCAACACTTGGATTTGTACAGAATTTTGATGAAAAGAGGGAGGACACATGGCAAGTGCTACACAAACTCTGCTGTCATGATCAATGTCACCGTTTTCAAGAAGTCAGAGCCTAAGCCAGGCCAGCACTGTGTCTGTGTGATTGCAGTATTTGAGATGCTGAGGTAGGAGGATTTGTAGCTCAAGGCCAACCTGACTACAGTAAGAGCTTGTCTTAAAAAAAAAGAAAAATCAAAAGGAGAAGAAGGAGATAGAGACAGAGGAGGAAAAGGAGAGGAACAAGGGAAATAGGAAGGGGAAAAGAAGAGAGATATAAAGAGAAGGAAGTATAGAGGGAAGGGGGCAAGAGGAACAGGTGTGGAGAAGAGGAAAGGAGGGAGCAGGAGGTTTTTACTGCGAGACCATGGAAAGAGAAAAGTCATGTAGTCACACACACAGGGTAGCAGAGATGATTGTACTACTCATTTCTATCAGTTTCCTGAAGGTAGCAGATAATGATTACTTTGACCAACTCTATATGCTGATGCCTGTGATCTGAGCAACGACGTTGAGGACAGCAATGTGCAATAGAACAACCACAGTTGAAGACCTTTCATCTTGCTCTTTTAAATGTGTATCATCTCCAATGCTTCATCTGTTATTTTTATACTCCCTTTAAAATAAATTTTTTAAAAAAGTCAAAAGGCAAGGAAAAATATTAAGGTTTAGTGAAAGAGTTGATGTTTAATTGTTTGATCAGTTTGTCATGCTTGTATCT